AATTTGTTCGAATCGAATCAAACATTGATTTGGATTTGATCAAATAAATTATTCTTTGATTTGAATTTGATCAAATCAAATCAAATATAAATTTGTATTTGCATTTGATTTGATTTTCAAATCAAATATTCAAATATCAAATCGAATTGCGGAACCCTAGTTATCAATACAACCTATTATAAGTCTATTATTCTAAATATATTATATTATTATTAGCATTTATTAAATATTAAAAAAAAGTTTTTATTTCTTATATGTTTTTGAATATGCTTGTACTAGATTGATGATTATTCACAAATGCTTTAAGTTTATTAAATAAAGTTTGGTATGTTAAACAAATTCCCATATTTTGCTAGAGTATTTATACAAATTACTGATGCATCTAAATTAATTAAAAATAATCCAATTGTAGTTTGAACACCGCTAATTTGCTTGTTGCACATTGCTGCAATTTGATAACATAGCAATATAACCTTTTGTTTTAATAATTATTGTGTTTGTAAGTTTTTACTTTTGGAATTCATAGATTGAAAAATCATATCAAAAAATCCTTCAATTTGTGTATTATGTTTCTTAATTAATTCTTCAAATTCTGCTGCATTCTTATACTGGCAAATTTTTTTCACAAAAATGTCTATATAAAATATTAGTGATCTGTCTAATTTTATCGAAAAAACTCCGAAAATTCATTCAATCCTAATAATTTAATAATAAAATAAATATTAAGTAAAAAATTCTATTAAATTGAATTTGAAAAGTAAAAAAAATTACCTGGTTCTTAGGGTTCCGCAATTCGATTTGATATTTGAATATTTGATTTGAAAATCAAATCAAATACAAATTCAAATTTATATAAGAATGATTTATTTGATCAAATCCAAATCAATGTTTGATTTGATTCGATCAAATTCAAATCAAGTATTCAAATATTTGATTTGATTCAAATCAATAGTAAGCTATCTTCAAAGCTTCAGGAGTGATTCTTACTAAGAAAACTATAGTAAAATATGCTTTTACAGCTTAAGAAATGCCTTTTTTACTAAATATAACATAGTAAAAAATGTATTAGCAGCTTCAAAGACATTATTTTACTAGTAAAAATATCAATGCAGCTTTAAAAATGTTATTTTACTAAGAAAATAGAGTAAAAAGGTTTTAGAAACGTTATTTTACTAACATAATATAGTAAAAATACCTCTGCAGCTTCAGAGATATTATTTTATTAAAAAAACATAGTAAAAAACACCTCTGCAGCTTTGAAGACATTATTTTACTAAGAAACATAATAAAAAATGCCTTCACAGCTTCAGAGACATTATTTTTACTAAAAAAAATATAGTAAAAAATGTTTCTGCAGCTTCAGAAACATTTTTTTACTAAGAAACCTAGTAAAAAAAGTATTCATGGCTTTTGAAACATTTTTTATTAATAAAATAGTTCCAAAATTGCGATAGTAATTAATACTAAGTTTTCTTAGTAAAACTAAGATTGCAGAGTTATTTCACTAAGTTTTTTTAGTAAAACTGAAGCCATAAAATTGTTTTACTAAGTTTTTAATATTAAAATTCACTTGTTACTAAACTTGTTTTATAAAAGATATTTTTGAAATTTTTTAGTGAAATTACTAATAAATTTTTTAATTAAAACTTTAGAATATCTTTATTTTAATATATTATTATAAAAATTAAAATTTGTTTTTTTGATTTGATTTGATTTGATTTCAAGAAACCCTAGTTTCAGTAACCTTAACAATTATCATTTCAGCATAATTTTTTAAAATCTGCTTACTTTTTTTATTATAAATTTTTTTCAAAATTAATTCACATTAAAATACATCATGTTTAATCTTTTATTTAAAATATTATTATATATTGAAAAATTACTCTTAAAAAACTAGAATATAAGTCATTTTTTTTTTGATATTTTAACACAAAACAAGTATTATAAGCCTTAAAAAAAGATTTAATATGATTGATAAATATATGAAATACAGTTTTTTTGATTTATAATTATTCGTTATATTTTATAAATTTACTAAATCTGTGGGTTTTTGCTTAAAGTAAAAGATTACTATTCCTATTCTGAATTATATATTTTTAATATAGAAATTTAGTTATTTAATACTATTTTATTATTACATATGTATATGATTCTAAATTATATATTTTTAACATAGGAATTTAATTAAAACTTATACTGAATTAAATGTATTTAATATTAACCTATGCATACGATTTTGAATTATAACCTTTAATGCAGAAATTTAATGTTATTTTATTAAAATATATGCAATTAAATATTTTAAATTGATATGTTTTAAAGCTAAAAATATATATGAATTAATTAAAGATATAAAGTATATACTCTCTGCTCATATTAAATAATGTAATACATACATTATTAATTTAAATTTATAATGAATAATCATAATCCTATGTAAGATTTTGTAAGATTCTATAATTTTATATAGAATTTCACTATAATATTTTGTAATTTTATAAGCTTGTAACCTTATATAGGATTTTATTTTAATATTTTATAAATCTTGCAATACTATAACCTTATATAAGATTTCACTATAATATTTTATAAATCTTACAATATCATAATCCTATAAAGGATTTCAACTGTAAATATTATATAAAAAATATGATCTACAACTCTATGTAAATTTTTATCTTAATGCTTTATAATCTTATGAATTTATAAATTTGCATAATTTTATAATGTAATACTTTAAAATATTATGAAAATTATAAATCTACAGAATATTATAATATATTTAAATTCAAGATGATATAATAATAAAATAATAAAATAATACTAATAATACTAAATAAATCATAATAACAAATATTAAATAATAATAAAAATAATTATTGTAATAATATTCTTATTTTATAAAAGATTTTTATCATTTTTTTTTTTTTTTGTATATTTTTAAGAGTAAATGACTTTTTAGGTGAAAATTTATCTTTTAGAAATTCTCATTTGAAAATAAAATAAGCAAATTAAAAGTGATTTTTTAGTAAAATTTAATATTTTTGTTTTTTTTTTTTGTTTTTTTAAAAAAATTCTTGTTTAAAAATCATTTGGATATAATTTTTTTAGTAGTATTTTTTATTTTTTTCCTTTTTTTTTCTTTAATTATTAAGAAAATTCTTATTTTGAAATTAAGAACATCATTTAAAAGTAATTTTAGGATAAAAATTTATTATTGTTTTTTATATTATTTTTTTAGAAAAATTTTTATTTTGAAAATAAGTTAAGTAAGTAAATTAGAAGCAACTTTTTAGATGAATTTATTACTTTTTTTTTATTTTTTTTTAGTATTAAGTTCCTTATCATTAGACTTGCTATTAGGCAATAAAATATATTTAATTTTAAAATTAGATAAATTTTATAATAACATTATTAAAATTAATTATAATAAAAAATTTTAAAATTAAGATTTTAAACTAAATTGGTATTAAAATATTAGAATATAAATCATATAAAATGTTTTAATACAAATTATAATTAAATGTTTTATTTAAAAATTTATTAGTAAAATAAAATACTTATTTAATAATATTTAAATAAAATAATGATTAGCTGAATTTATTTAATATAATTATATAAATTATAAGTATTATAAGAGGTAAAAAATTTTATAGCATTTTATAAAAATATAATATATAAGAAATTTGCTAAGAAATGGGATTTTAAAATTTTTTTGACTAAATTTAATTTTTGCATTTTAATCTAACATTATTAAAAAAATTCTTAAAATCCTATTTTTTCTAACAAAACTCCTATATATTACTTTTTTAATAAATCAAATTTAATAAAAATTTTTTATTAGAAATCTAGAATTTAACTATAAATTTAAATTAATATTTATGAAAATCATTTAATTTTAATAAATTTTTATTAAGATATTTTTTTTTTGGTGATGATTTACTTGAAAAAAATCATAAATATTTTAGTTTAAAATTTGATATACAATCACGTGGTCGGTTATTTAATGTAAATGGCCGTTTTGCAGTACGAAACAAAAATATTAAAAATTTTTTACTTTATTAGCTAAATATGATTTTTTAGTAAAATAAACTCACTTCTACACTTTTTAAAAAATAAAAACACCTACAACGATTTCTGCCAGTCGAAACTTTTCCACTAATGGATCCCAAAATAAACATTGGAGGTGTAACATTAAATTTTACTATAAAAATGAATTAATTAATTTATAATGTCCGAAAACGTCAATCATCAAGTTGTAAGTAGGTAAAGATCGAATTATGTCGATCCTACAAGTATGATCTAAAATCTGATGTCTTTACCCTGTTTCCACACTCAAGGCAAAATGACACACTCATCAGGTCTCTTTAAAATTTCATAAGAAAACTGATTCGAACATTGTAATGCTTATTATGGTTTAAAACAATTAATTAATATATAAAATAATAAAGAAAACGTTGAACTTCGCAAAATACGCGAACGATAAATATGATTGAAAAAATAAATATGATTGAATAAATGTGTAATACAAATGAAAGGAACGTTGTAAACCACCGAAATCCATTAGACAGATCCGAAAACTTGATTAAGGTCTGTCCAATCATAGGTTTGTGCAACATTCACCAAAAAAATTTTGATCAAAAAAAAAATTTTACGGATCTCGAATATTTCTCCTACACAATAAAATCTAAAAAGATGGTTAAATCTTCAACGAAATCAACTTCCAAAAAGCAAATTAAATCTCTGGCAACACCATTGTCAACGAAAAAAGCTTCTATCATGTCATTATCGACTAAAAGCACACCGAATTCTACATTAAACGAACTTTCAACTGTGACTAAAGCAACTTCAACACCAAAAAATAAATCGTCAAAAAAAATAAATTCAACTTACATAAAAAATACTAAGAAAAATAAAAATGGTTCATATAGATCTAATAATGATAAACATAAGTTGAAAGAACCCAACGAAATGGAAATTGACAATAATGATTTATCAGATGGTTCAATTGATTTTGGAATGACTGGTGGCGATATGGACGAAGAATTATTTAATTTAAAAATAGATGCTTCAACATCTGATGATGATGATGATGAAAATTCAAAAGAAATTAAAGTCGATGGTAGTGATATTGATAGTATTATCGATAAGTATGATGAACATGTTAAAATAGATGAGAACGATAATATGGATATTGATCAGAAGAGTGGACGTGACAATCTGAATGAGGAATTATTAATTGATGAGGAAGGCATGGAAAATACATTTAAACGACAAAAAAACCAGGATCCTGGTAACATCATTATCTTTTCCATATTTATGTAAGAAAAGCCCAAATTCTAACCTAAAATTTTTAATATATAGATTATAATGTAATTAAATTAGCATTCCAACGTAAACATGCAGTTACAAAAAAACTTGATCCAGTTTATCATTTAGGATTAAAAGAATTATGGAACCAAGTCCGAATAAAAAATATTTCTAAAGAAAAAAGAAATAAGTATATGGATGAATTATTTGAATTAATCAAAGGTAAAATACCTGAAATATTATTTAAAATTGATACTTCACGTATCATACAATCCGTACTTAAGTATGGTACAGCAAAACAAAGAAACATTATTATTGACGAGTTGGAAGGAAGATGGTTAGAAGCTTCAAAAAATGTCTATGCTAAATTTGTTATTTGTAAAGTTTTAAAGTACTGGTAAGTTGACCGAGGCATTGTTTATATTTATATTTGATTATTGATTTGGATTCTAATGTTGATTTTCGATTTCAGTCCTAAACATAGGTATAAAATTATATCAGAATTTAAGGGTAATATTTCAAAATTGATGCAACATACAGAGGCTCGTAGCGTAATTCTAGAAGCTTATGAATTACTTAATGCAAAACAAAGATCTTCTTTAATCCAAGAATTTTATGGGAAAGAATTTTCCTTATTCAAGGTATTAACCTAGATGCATTTAAATTTTTTTTTTTGTTTTTTATTATTTAACTATTTATTGTATCATGCAATTGACGACTAATATTACTATCTAACTCAGGAAACACAAGGATTAAGCATTGAAGAACTTGTAAAAGAAAATCCTTCGAATAAAGATAGAGTTCTTGAAAACCTTTCAAGAGAAATAGAGGCAATAATGAAAAAGCCAGGGTTAATTGGATATATTATACCACAACGTATTTTGTTGGATTATTTTACATATGCTAATGAAAATAAGATACGTGAAAAAATTGCTTTAATTGGAGAACACGTGCATGAATTTTTACATACGCGAGAAGGGTCTCGTGTAGCAATGATGTGTTTTTCTTATGGTACCGTAAAAGTAAGTATGATTTATCTATTATTAACTTGATTTTTATCTATGATGATAATTCAAATTTTTCGTTTTCTTTCCTAATATACAGGATAGGAAAACTATGTTGAAAACCATGAAAGATTATGTCGAAAAGATATGTTGTGAAGAATATGGACATTTGGTGTTATTGAGAGCATTTGATGTTGTTGATGATACTGTCGCTGTTTCAAAATATATTATTGAGGTATTGTATATGGATTTTTTCCCCCTTTCGAGTCTTAATTTTAAGATGTTAAGATATAATAACTTGTTTTATATTTATAATAGCAAATGACCAAGTTGAATAAATTAAGGAATATTCTTCAAAATAAATGGGGTCATCGTGTAATTCTATACTTGTTGGCTCACAGGTCTACTTTATATTTTAGCTATGATACATTACGTCTGCTTGCTCTTGGTGATGACATACGTACAATGACAAGGTATAATAATATATTTTTTTTCGTTGATGAAAAAGTATTAATTAAAATTTTCGATGTTATAGCAAAAAAGATCCTGTTGTACGTGCAAACGAGCTTCGCCAAGCGATTTCACCTGCTTTAATTACATATGCACAAAACAATACATCATCAATGTTCCTATTTACCTTTTCAACTCAAGTCCTCTGCGAAATATTGCTACATGCGGATGGAAATTTTGATCAAAAGACGGCAATTTTAGAAAATATAGCAAGATTAGCTAATAAAAATCCGAATGATACAGAGAATGATAATATTATGTTATCTTATATTAATCGTACTCTTAAAGTATTAGTTCACGGAGGACATCGGAAACCGCCTAAATCACTAAAAATTAAAGAAGGTTCCAAAATCGATGTTTCTCAAGTTATTAATGATGATAAGGAAGAACTACACTTTGGACCGATTTTATTTAATAATATTAAAGAATATATTTTATTCTATGCATGTCACCTTTCTGCATCTTTTGTAGTATTGGCTTTATTGGAAAATAACGAGACTAATAAGTATGTTAAGGAAGAATTATTGAAAGGTGTAGAACAAATTAAAAATGCTGCTCAGCAAGACGAAAAATCTGGAGCAAATTTAATTTTAAAAAAATTAGGAATTAAATTAATTAAATCGAAAAAGATTAAGAAGGGTGGACAAAAAATTAAAGGGAAATCTGAAGGAATTATTGCTAAGGGTCATGGAATTATGTCTGGTGCTAATAAGAACAGTGAAAATAAAGGAAGTGGAAAGGAAATGGTGAAAGGGAAGGAGATTAACGGTAGTAAAGGTATAAAAAGAAAGCGATGAGAGTATTAGTACGCTTGTAGAACTTTTAATAATTATCATCACGTTTTCCTTTGAATGTATCGATTATTTATAATTTATATTTAAAAAAATAAAGGATTTTAATTAAACTTGGTTCTAAATCGTATATAATAAATAACCGCTGAACGAGGCCCGAGAAACCATCAAAACCTTTTAATGTGATATCATGATCCTATAATGTTCGTTTTTGATTTTTCGAATCCAAAGAATTTCAATCTTTTTATTTTATTTTCCTTATCTTTTCGCCCTCAAAAAAAAAAAAAAAAAAAAAAAAAATATTTCCAGATAATCAAAAATTATGGGCGGCGGCGTTACAAAATGTCAATTTATTAATAAATGATCATTTTTTATTATCAAGATAATCAGTTTTTTTTTTTTTTAAAAAAAAAAAACTAACCAAATATGAGGAAAGATAATCACGTGAGTTGAATCATTCTTGTTTTTCGGACAGTTTCGTGACGATCATTGCCTTTTTGTAACAAAAGTAAATATTTATAAAGCACAAAACAATCAAGCATTCAGAACCATTTACAATCTCTCTCTCTCCTTTTTTCTTACTTAATACACTTATACTTTTATCAAAATGAGCTCTATGAAATGGAGTGTAAAAGACGTAGAACATTGGCTTGCTAATACATTAATGCTTGATAAACAAGTTATAAAGATATTTGAAGGTAAAGAATAAACAAAAACGAAAAATAAAACAAATAATAAAATAGCTTACTGTTTTCACGTTGCTTTTGAATATTTAGAAAATGAAATCAACGGCGAAATATTGTTAAATCATATAACAGATAATATTCTGTTAACCCGCTTAGGCATTTTATCATATAACTCCAGGTTTAAAATTTTAAACGGAATACAAGCGTTAAAGCTAGAAAATGGTAATTAAAATTTTAATATTAAAGTTTATATTAAGCTGTGAATGATAAAAAATTATTATAAAATATAAAAATATATAAATATCTATATGTATAATTTTTTATATTTATATATTAGAGGGCCCGCAAATTGTCCCTTTAATTTTGCCTACGTCATCATCTTTTATCTTTGATCCAATAGTAAATGATATGAATGATCGGGTTTCTAATAATACAGAAGATAATACTACTGTAAACTTCGATCTTAGTGATGATGAAGCTTCTGAAGCTATTTCTAGCGATTCTAACAAAGATTTCGCAAATGGTAGCGATGAAGATGATGATTATAGCGATCGTGAGAGTTTTCTTAGTGAAAATGAGGACAGCGATGCATTGGTTATGGATAATGAGGGGGACCTCATCATGAGGGGGCAACGAATTAAAAAGAACAAAAAGTTTCATTTAAAAACGATGGATTCATATGAATTTGGAAACAAACCCGAACTTTTATCGAATTTTCATGCAATCAGAATCGGTAAAGATCCTATTTCAAAGAAAGAGGAGGAGAGGATTCTGGCATCCCAAAAAAAATTTGGATATGCAACCAAATGGATGTATGCGGAAGATGATGAATTGCTTCCGGTATGTATGCATATAAATTTACATGATTATAATGTATATACTAACCATTCTTGAATACATTAAGGTTTACGGTGATAGTGATGAAGAATTATATTATCTAACGAGTGATTTTGAGGAAGAAATTATGGAAGAAGAGAGAAAATTATCTAAGAGAGAGGGTAAAAAATCTACTCCTTTCATTTATGTAGGTTCAGAAGGCAAAAGTTCTCCTTCCATTAATGAAAACATCTCAAGTGAAGATGAGGAATCTTTTGAATTAAAGGTCGAGCATCTGATTAATCTTTATATTGATAAAGAAAGGGAAAGATGGAATTCCACAAAGCAAGTATCGAATTATTATTACTTAAAGGAAAACTTTATGATTTTGTCTAAACAAGTTTCTATACTCGTAGAAAACCACAACTTGAGGATAAAGCTTATTATTATTGGTCAAAATACTTTCCAAGAAAATCAAGTACCAAAAATACTACGCGTTTGGCTACTTTACAAAAGTCCTTGCAACATTTGAGAAATGAGGTATTTGTTATTTAATCTGTAACTAGTTTCGTTTAAACACTTATTTTTGTACTCAATTTAATTTCAATTGTAGCGTCTTCCTCAATTGGTCGAACAAGTTAAATCAAATCTTAATACAGTAAAAGAGTTAACTTTAGAGAAATCTTCTGTGAGGCGTGCATGTGGCGCGTTGGAGACGACTTTGCATCAGGTTTTCGTATTTGAATGGATATTAGCTCTCTTAGTTAGGCCCGAAGTTCCACAGAAATCTGCAAGAACCTCAAAGAAGAAGAAGATTGTTAAAAATGTAGATAATAAAGCGGTGCTTTTTATCCAGTTATCAATTATTTTAATCTGTTAAACGTTTAATTTATTGTAGGAAAACTCAAACGAAGTTACTGATGACTATGAAGAGTATGATTCGGACTTCATCGATGATTCTGAGCCAGTGGATACAAATACTTATAATTTGGAATGGGCAGAATTATACAGAATTCCTAACCGTAAGCCATTTTGTTCAATGAAATATATAATTAAAAATTTAATGAGCGGCACATGTAATATAATAAAATTGGTTATTTCGTAGTTACTGTTGAAACAATGAAATTACCGGATTTACCCGAGGTTACTAGAGTCATCTCAAATGATGTTGCATGTGTAAATTCCGAAAAATCACGTCATGATTCAAGTGAATCGAATGCACTTGAAAAAAATATAACATCACCCAATAATATAAATGTACCACTTGTTAAAGATGATAATATTATTATTTCAAAAGAATCACCAGATGTTAAAATTTCTGATAGCGATGATTCTTCGGATAAAAAACCGCTTTCAGAAGAAATAACTTTTGTTCCTATTGTTGAAAATTCGTCTAGAAAACCTAATCCCTCTGAAATCATTGTTGTAGAAGATAGTGATGTAGAAATTACGAGTGATATGGAAATAGATGATGATAAAACTGAGTCTTATCAAGCAAGTGTCATTAATAATCTAGCGCATTCCGTGTCGAAAGTTAACATCATACCGGATTTTGATTACATTGATGATGATGATGTGTATGAAGAACCAGTACAAATGCATTCTAAAATTGATACTACCTTTCTTAAATATAAGTGTCAAGGTAACGTAAATCAAATAAATTAACGATAACAACTTTATTAGAACGAGTCTAATCGGCCATCCCTTCGTATAGAGTTATATGATAAAATAATCGCGCTCTCGGAACAATTAGCTTTCAATTGTAATCAGAAGCTTGAAGATCAGGCGGTCTTAATACGTATATATGACGAATTTAGAAGGTATCTACATATGTTATGTAGAAAAGGAGGTAAAAATAGTAAGCTAAAGCAGCTAAATATAAGCAACATTGATGTTTTCTCCAAATATTATGATTGGAGGAGAAATTATGTTATGGAGAATCATAACAAAAAGTTCGTATACTATAACTTCCGTAATTTTTTTATGATTATAATTGCTTTAATAACTTGTGATATAATATTTTGTGTACAAAAGACATGCAGAAATTGAGGTGAAAAATGAATCTCACGTTGGAAAGAATTACGTAGGAGACAGCGAAGAGGAATCAGACGACTTGGATAGAGGAGAATGCAGTTCTCCTAAAAAATCTAAACGAAGAAAAAAGGTGAAGGAATCAAAAACCGTTATTGAACAACGCAAAGCCAGAAGCATGCTTGAACAGGATTATAGAGCCAGATTTGAAATGTAAGTTACAATTATTTATTATTAAGTATTTAACATTTTAATACTGATGATGTTTTATATTGAATAAATAGGCAGGCAAAACTCGTCAATCCTTCTGAAGGAGTATATATCTTCTATCCTTATTTTTATTTTTTATTTTGCGATTTTTTAATTGATCTTTTTAATTTATTAAAGGTTATAATTAATCTTGGCCATCATGAAGACGAGGAACACATTTTTATACCTGATATAGGTAATAAATTAAAACCTCATCAGATCGAAGGCGTTCGATTCTTATGGAAGAATATAATAATGTTCAATAAAGGATGTGTTCTTGCGCATTCAATGGGTTTAGGTAAGTCATTTATTTAATTATTTATTTCGAGATATATTTCAAGATATTTATTGATTTTTTTGTTCAGGAAAAACTTTTCAAGTGATAACGTTTCTATTTACATTGGCTTATCATATTCGGGGATATAGTAACAATACAGTTATACCTGATCATCTTAAAGTAAAGCTTTAATCTTTTAAATTGTTTTTATATATATGTCATTATCATTATTTCTAACTTAATAATGGATTATTCACATTTAGAAATTCCAAATTTTGATTCTTTGCCCAAAAATTGTAGTGGATAATTGGGAAAACGAATTCAATTACTGGTTAAAAGATGTGAGTAAGATTTTCAGCTTTTATAAATTTAATGGTAAGTTACACTTTTAAATCTACAATCAAATTTTCATTTCTTATTTAGAACTGAAAGGTTACCTAATTTATTTATTAGATAATGTTGACCAACGTCAAAAAACCATCATTACATGGTTTGAAAATGGAGGTGTGCTCTTAGTCGGTTATGAAATGTATAGGCAACTTATCTGTACAAACTCACCTCATCAAGGTTTTTATCGCCATTGCTTATTGGAACCTGGCCCGTCTTTAATAGTTGCAGATGAAGGTCATATACTTAAAACAAAGGATGTAAGTGATTTTATGTTATCATTTATAATTAAAGACGAACGGAATTATAATTATAAAGGATAAATTTCGTAGACAAAATTGAATGAAGTTCTTAAGAATTTAAAAACTCCAAGTCGAATAATATTGACCGGATCTCCTTTACAAAATAATTTGGTTAGCATTCGACATTTTCTATATGTTCTAATATTGTTTGAATTTTACAAATATTAATTATTTTAATTTACATTAGGTTGAATATTGGTGTATGGTATGTATGACCAGTCTGGAAATTTAATGAGTACAAAGTTCCATTTTTTTAAAAAAAAAAATTATATTAATCCACAAACAGATCCAATTTGTATGCCCTAATTATTTGGGAGAGCTTGAGGATTTCAAAAAGGTTTATATGCAACCTATTCAAAATGGTTTGTACAAACAAGTCGAGCTCGCAGAAGAAAAGGTTTGGACTATTTATGTGTCTTTTCCTATTCAAATCATATCTGTTATATATATATATATCTATCTAAAAAAAACGTTACATTTTAGCTTTCGAGAAAAATGCTTTACGTTCTCGGCAATATTATCGAAGATATCGTTCATAGGTACACATTAAACTCAATTCTTTTGGTTTGAAAATAGATAAATATTTATATCTTTGACTTTTGCAGGAGAAATCTTGGTATTTTGGAAAAAGATCTGCCTACAAAAGTAGAATATCTTGTTGCTTGCAGGATACAAGGCCGTCAGTTATATATATATAGTGTAATTTGATTAAAATTTAATGTGGTTTGGTTTAGACTATCGCTCTTAATTATGTCTTTTTGCTATCACCATATTTAATACGTTTGAATATTCTTGGAATTTATTAGGAATTAGTCGATGCATTAAATAAGGAAGGTGGTCCCAATATACAATACTCGCATCTTTTAGGTGTTCTCTGTAATCATCCTGCAATAGTTTTGGTACGTTATTAAATCTGAAGTATACGCGTCTTTTTATTACCTTACTATTTTATTAATGATTTCATATTGAATTTATTCAGCCAAAGCTAAGTAAAGAGAATAAGGTCAAAGAAAAAATTGGTAATGATGCTTTGTTATTATATTAAATAGTATTTGACGACGATATTTGATTAATAATCAAAAAAAAAAATGTTTCAACCATTTAGTCATAGATTTAACAGGTGATGATGGTGAAGTAAATGCAATAGATGATGATAAGTGCGTATTTTATTACTTGTAAATACATTATTATTCTCTTCATATTAATTTTCTTTAAATTTAGTTTGCCAACTACCATTCGCGAATCTATTTATAAAATCGTGAGCGAAATGAAAGGTTTGTAAATAACATATATTATTAACGAAATATGATCTGATGAAATTTAACAAAACTTAAAATTATAAAAGAATTGGATGAGATTTATGAAAGCTGTAAGATGTTGGTTTTAATGAAAATTTTGGAAAAATGTGAAGCAAAGAAAGACAAAGTACTTATATTCTCTAAGAGTATACCGACTTTAGGTAAAGGAATAAAATTTTTTGACGTATATAGTTTCTGGCTTTTGTTTATATAACAATAAATTTATATATAAACAGATTTCATCGAAAAATTGTTAAAAAAATGGAAGCCCGACAATGATTCTCATTTTATGAGAATAGACGGGAATACGGCTTCCGCTGTAAGTTCATATCTGGTTTGTTTAAATTTGATCATAAGCGTTAACTTGTTAAAATTTCTCTGTTCATTTTTTCGTAGAGTCGGCAAATTAAAATAAAAGATTTTAACGAGACAAAATTGTGGCGAGTCGCACTAATATCTATTAAAGTAAATACTTTGCTAAAAGTTAAAAATATTTTTGAATATTTAATTCACAATGTTTTATTCATTTAATTTGTAGACAGCCGCTTTAGGTGTCAATTTAGTAGGAGCCAATAGGGTTATTTTGGTTGACGGTGAATGGAATCCAAGGTGAGTTAATTTGAATAATAATAAATATATTTAATAGGATTGAGCAGAAATATTTAATTTAATTGTATTAGTCATGCGGAACAAGCCATTGGCAGGGTAAGTATATTAAAAAAATTTTTAATTAGAAAACTTTTTTCATCACATTATTTATTCGATTCGTTTTGTTTCCTTTTATTTATTATTAAATTAGGCATATCGATATGGACAGACGAAACCTGTATATGTTTACCGTCTAATAACATTCGGAACATACGAACATAAAGTCTTCATCAATTCAGTACATAAAATGGGTTTATCATTGTAGGTTTATAGAATATCTTCATTACATATCCTTAGAATATGTTTAACTTAATTTTATCTATATAAATTTAGCCGAGTGGTGGATCAAAAAAATCCAGAAAGAAAATTCACTAGAGAAGATCTAAATTCAAAGTTTTTAGTCACTCCCGAAGCTAATATGCCAACTAAACTACCTGCGCCTGAATGTATTAATTATGATGATGATGTTTTGGTTAGCGTTGCTTTAGAGTAAGTCTTGGTTATTTGTATTCCCTTGCTGCATCGTTAATTGCTCTCTCACTAATATAAAATAAATATTACCTATGTAAAATAGGCATCGCCAAAGTATTATTGATATTCAAAAGGTTTCATCTTTTTTTATCGATGATTCTCAAGATCTCAATGAAGATGATAAAAAACATGCTCAAGAATTATTGATCGAAGAAAAAGCAAAATTGAGTTTACGAATCAACTAGTCTATGGCGAGGATTTTTGTAAATAGTATGACTATATAAATCTGAAATAAAGAAAATAATAATTGTGTGTTCAATTTGATTATATAACCTTTTCAACTTAAATGTAAGATATTTTTTTTTTCCAATTTATATATTTAGATATAATAGATATTAATAATAAGATTTAATAGATTTCATTGATGTAGATTAATTTAATTCATACTTTAGTTTCAATGTATATTAATTTTTATAGAAAATAGTTAGTAACTTAATTTTTATAAGTTAATGGCTGAGCATTAAAATCATTGATTTATTGATTTTAATATGTCACATAATAAAACCGTAAATACTCAAAATAGGTCTTGTTATTCCACACCACGTTACGGATAATTAGGTGAATATTGTTGTAATCTCTTTGCATAACTCATGAGATTATATATTAATTAATACCTTGTTATGTTATGTGTAGCGTGGTGTGGAATAACAAGACCTATCTGACATATGCACCGATGAATTTTTCTCCTATACAAAGTTTTATAAATCAATGAAGTATGTGACAAAAATTTATTGGTGTTAGCAAATGTCTAAGTCGAAATGATAAGGTCATTTGTTAAATTTATTTATACAGAATACATACATAAACACCTGGTGAACTTGTGCGCATTTCTCACTCGTTGAGTGCTTATAGTTCTAGAGATTGGAATCAATAAGGTTGTCGAGCATAAAATTAAAACGATTCCAATTTTTATATTAAATTGGGAGATTTGTATCGTTACCAGTAAGTTTTTTCTTATTAGTACAGCAGCTCAAAGTTGTCATAGACTTTTATTTTTCAAGTAGAAAGTTTGTTCTATGAAAAAAAGATGTCAGGAACATACTAAATCGCTATGCGAAACTAAAAAAAAAAAAATTTATTGATTTTTCCAACATTACCACATTAGGATTTTGTTATATTCCTCATTATATTTTAATATAATTTCAGCTGTTTATTAATTGCTTTTTTTGGATTCCATTCCTCATCTATAGTCACATTAAATTTTCTTTCAACTTCAAATAATATCCTCTATCCTCCTATTATTATTTATTGACTCAATTAATTGGGGTTCTAATTGGTCAAATTTTTGGTTAGAAAGTAATTACACTTTTTATACTGAATGGTTAATTTTGTTTAATTTCATTTAATTTACTTAAGCAAGGTTAATATTAATTATATTTAGTTTTTACTTTTTTAGATAGATATTATTGTATTTTTTTATCTTACTTTTTGTTTGTACTTGTATAAATTATAAACTTAATAAAAATGATTATAGTAGCAGTTAAAAGTATTGCACCATCTGATCACAAATTTTAAAATTAAAATATCTCGTGATTAAGAAAGTGCAGTATTACAAAACTTAATTAAGAATTTATCATATTCTATTTTATTAACCTATCTAATCTTTTTTTAGGCAAATTTTTATTTCTTTCACAAAATGTAAAAACATACAAATTTAGCAATGCATTTATTTTGGCTATTTTTTTTAAATAATATCAACATATTTAACATAACTAATTTTTATTCAAAAAAATTTATATAATAGATATAAAAAAAATACCTTTAGGCATCCTTTTTTCTTTTTAACTTTAAAAAATACTGATAGTTTATTTATTTCCTAAAAAAAGGGTTAGGATTTTTATTATTTAAAAAGGAATATTTTTTTTTGCTATATTGCTGCCAATGAAAAGTTTCTTAGTCAACAGTTATAAGAATTAAGCAATGAAAAGATATTTATGGTACCTTAAATCTGGATGTTTTAGATACCTGACAGGTTGAAATGAACGAAATGTTTTGCAACTTATTTTATCAGAAAAATATACTAATGCAGTTGCAATTCAAAAAAAAACTAAAAACTGAAGACAAAATTAAAGTTAATGAAAGTATAGTAAAGAGAAACTTACATCAAAATGGATTAAGCTTAAGAGATAAATGTAAAAAGTCTTACCTTTGAAAAAAACATAGAATTGCTCATATGAAATTTGCAAAAAAATATTGATCATAAACAGCAGAGGATTGGAATAAAGTAACCTGATCAGATGAATCAAAAATTTATGATTTATGGGTCAGATGGTAGAGAATATTGTTGGAAAAACAAAAATAAACCATTACATGATCATCATGTTAAACCATTAGTTAAATTTTGGTGAGGTAATATTATGGTGTAAGGTGTTTTACTTCTGAAGGGGTTGTTAACAAATGCCAAATTTATGGACATATGAATGATATGAATTGCTTAATTGCCCCCACCTAAATCAATTAAGTGTGCCAGATAACCCTTTATTAAGCGAATTAAAGTATTTAAACCTCACAGTCCTTAAAAACTTGAATATTGATAATACTATGGTTAATTTATTCTCGGTGATTTATATCACCAAATTTTGAAGGAAGACCTTTTAGGAAGCATCGAGTAGCATGGAATGGATAAAGATAATATTATCTTTCAACAAGATAATGACTCTAAACACACTGCAAATCTTACTAAGCAATGGTTTAAGGATAATAGGGTTAAAGTTCTTGATTGGCCAGCACAGTCCCTTGACTTATACCCAATAAAAAATGAAATGGACCGTCATTTGAGGCGGCTTGAAACACCTGTTAGAACACAGGATCAGTTGTGGGTGCAATTCAAAAAATTTGGGTCCGATGTATGCCAACTCGTATAAATGATGTAATGAAGGCTAATTGGCGGCTATACGAAATGGTAAATAATAATTTACCAAAGTTTTAATGTAAAAAAATTGTTTTTTAAATTTTTTTTATTTATAAAATATCGGTCAAAAGAAAAGCATCACATAATTTAAATTAAATAAATATTTTTTAAAGTATGATTATTACTGTGCAATAATTTTATATGAAGAGTCTAAAAAATAAATTTCGTAACACTGCACCTTCTAATTCTCAATTTTAAAATTTGTGATCGGGACTTTTGACCACTGGACCAAAAAAAAAAAAAATTTGCTATAATATATTTTGAGAGTTTGTGACGCAATTCAGTATAACGTTTATCAATTGAAGATTATTATTTCTTTGATACAGCATCGAAGATGGAATTACCCAAATATAATGGAACTTGTCATCCTAATAAATATGTTAAACACATGCGTGCATACTGTAAAATAAATCGAATTACAAATGAAAAAGACATACTTGAATTATGCATTTTAATGATATGTATTTATAATATATATCAACTTATCTCACTCAACTTTTTACATCTTTAAAGATTCTTGTAAGAGCAAGTTAAAAGGAATGAAATATATTCCTGAACTGGAGGAGAATTTCACCGCTAATTTTCTTGCAAAATTCCGTACACTTTGTTATGATGCCGAACTTAATGATCCTGATGAAATCAAAAAACTCCTTTTTAATTCAAATAAATTCTTTAAAGATGAATTTGTAAGAAGATCAGATATGATTAATTCAATAGATCAAATCGATGAAAATTTTCAATTATTTCATGAGATTGTATTAGATATGTCAAATATAATTGGATATGGTTCGTTTATAGCTTTAAAAAATGTTTCAACTGGTAGATATTTATCGAGTTGCAAGATAAACTATACAGGCTCCCAAAAACAAGTGGTCAGTTGAATTGAGTTTCTTTAAATAATAATATTATTATTTAATACACAATTTTTATTTTAGGTATTTGCTGGTGAGATACAAACGCTTTATGGTTTTTAAAGAATTGTAGTGAAAAGGAAGTGCCTTATAATATAGAGTCCAAATTTAAATTAATGCATAAAGAAACTAATACGAAATTATATGTAAGTACACATTGGACAAGGTGAAGGTACGATATCTACATTATATAAATACGGTATGTATTTAATAATTACAAAATTTACAAATATCTTTATCTTGTATAAAAGTATCTTGCCGTATAAGTGATCCTGAGTATGTCAATTCATACATCTGAAACCTGATTCATTATATCTAAGAGCAAGTGATATAATTAATTTAAAAGCTCATAATACATTTCATAATTATAATCGATTTGTACGAAGTCACGATTTCACTTTTACTATTGGAGATGAAACATTTTACGAAGTTGGTCATGATGATAGGATGAGTGACAAATGATGCGGTATGTTAAAAAAGGTCTTTTCCTCTATTTTAAATATTAATTTAAATAATTTTTATTTATTTACTTAGTGGTGTATAGAAATTGTTGAAAATATTTAAAATAATCAAATTGATATTCCTGAACTTTTTTATAATTATGTTTTCGTTCGTTCTTAATAAATTGAGATTTATATATGAAATTCAAAAATTAAATTCATTGTTACTTGAATCAATACATTGCAATTTTGGTTATTTTCGAGTCCGTGATTTTTAAATTCGACACAATGAAAAATTTCGAAAATTACAGAAAATCAATTAAAAAAAAAACAGAAGGTAATGTTATTTAAGATTCAAATGATTTGAACTTTATTTATAAATAATTTTAGATGAACTTAATCAGCTAAATACAATAATTTATACAGAAAATACACGGATATAAACAATATAAAATATATCATACAATGACAAACTTATTCCTAGTAACATCTTTACGATAATCCAGCAATAGATAATTCTCTATCTTTAGCATGTCTTTTCACACTTTCTCTCCAACTAGTTAAATCTACTCCCAATTTTCTACCTAAAGTACCAAGAGCGGTATCCAAATTCGTTGCAATCTCTTGGAATTTGGTTCGTGTTGGTTGTGCAGAAGACACGCGTATTGCGATAATGAGGGCTCTTCGCAAGTTTGTTCCAACCTACACGTAAAGATTTATAAGGTTAAAAATTATGAAATAACGATATCAAATAACGATATCATGTGTTGGTATATGCTTACTTCAATTAAAGTTTCGGCATCACTCTTGATAGATGGATTTCTTTCTAATGCAAAAACATCCGCCAATACATCATAATAGAATCCACTGAAAACCTAAGTAAATTATAAGAAAAGTTAATTTGTCCCTTCAAATAAATGTTTTGAAGAATAGATTTAACTCACCTGAGATACAGCATGTACTTCAGATCCAGCTTCGGAACCTTTAAGTGTGTTTGATAAATTTCTCAACCCTTTTCCTTTATTGTTGAACAACGCATCACCAAATTCTTCCCCGACAGCTGATAAGAAATTTTCTGGGTCTCTTAAATTTGCTTTTGTCATAGTGACGAATAAATCCGAAATTTCGGCCTTATAAAATTAAATTATTTTTTTTTAAAAAAAAGGGAATTAGAAAGAAAAGTAAGAAAAGTCTTAATGTTAACAACTTGTGATGTTCTCTACTTTATTTGGTTTGGTTTTCGTACTTACCATAGAAATAAGAGTAAATAAACTACACAAATCACCAAAAGCTTCGTGAAAACCACCAGTTTGTCCATCAGAAAGCCAACCAGGTTGCAGGGTATCCAAGAAAGCGTGACCAACTTCATGAGCCACCACATCGAAGCTTCTACACAAATAAATTGGTTTTCCGCTACTACCTTCAAACGTATAAAAGAATTTCAAAACCGCTTCATCACGACTATAATAAGCGTTAGCATCTTCTCCAGCATGAGGATGGATAGTAAGTTTCTTATTTTGTCCCCAAGGACGTTTTATTACTGGAGGACGTCCATCAAGATATTCCAAGTCACCGCTTAACAAGTTAAATACGTATCGAACGGTCGAAAAGGTATGTATAACGTCAAATCTAACATGGTTGTCTGATTCAGGAACCTTTGAAGGTGTATCTTCGAATGTTAACAAGAAATCTCCATTTTTGTCAGGAGCTATTGGTTTGGTTGATGAAGCAGTAGTGAACATAGAATCCGTTGGTCCAGTTTTTATGTCAATGTTTAATAAGAAAAGTTCTCGTATTCCGATCCGTTTGACAGATGGATCGGCTTTCCATACGTTAACTCGCGTTCCTACTCCGGGTGGTGGAGCTGCGGCAACGATTAAATGTTGTGGTAAGCGAGAAGCTAAAAAGTTTGCGCCACTATAAGGTATGAAAAGAAAAAAATATAAATATAATTAAGCAAAGCGAGTAAAATTCAAAAGAAATTCTTAAAAGTCGAATTATGTTTACTTTGGCCAAATATTTTGTTCATAATCAAATAATACAAAAGGTAATTTCGACGGAGATTTAAGGTCGAAACTACAAGATGACTTATTTGAAGTTCTTGGATTGAATTCAAGTAATTTTCCATTGTGTCCAATCACAATTGCTTTATTCGAGAAATCTAATTTTGTTCAAAAACAAAGTAAAAATTATCTTTTATCCATGAAAAAAAAGGAAAGCAAGAAAGAAAAAGAAGAAAACTTTTATTTAAATTACCTGGATGAGGAACGAATAAAAAGAGTTGTTCTGATTTTGGAGAATTGTTGTTGTCACCATTGGAGAATCCCAAAGTGCCAGATTGGGCATCCTGAACACTTAAGAATTGCCCCGAAGAATTACGCCATGCTACTAATGGAACGGTGACTGAAAAGGAAAAAAAAATTTTTTTTTTTTTTTGAATTACTGCGCTTCTGATGCAAGAATTTAGCCGAATAACCGGGGGGGGGTTTATTTATTTACCGATGTTAAGATCCTTCAAATTATCATTATATTCATTATTAGAATTATATGCGTGCCCAATTGAATAATTGTGTGTCTCCGGATCCTCGACAAGATATGAGGCAGATTCATGCAAATTATGATCAGGTCTATTGATAAGATTATTTCGCGTTAATAAAATTGGAGCTTCAGCTTTTTTTTACAATAAAATAAAAAAGGAATTATATTTACTTGTTTTTATTACCCACAAGAGATCTTGATAAATATGCATTACGTTTCTTGTTATACAACGCATAATGACTGCCGTAGTTTTCTAATAAGAATCACGTGAAATAAATTAGCATTAATTTGGGATGGAATTTTAAAATAAACAGGATGAACGAAAGTACCTATTCTCCAAAGCTGGGCGGAATCGGAGAAATTATAAATTTCTTTTTTGATTGATCCGTCCTCATTCATTGTTAGGGCACGTTTAAAAGGATCAACAAATGCAAAGTATCTATAAACTTCTCCAGTACTTGGTTCACCTTCCGAAGCAAATGTTGGAGCGTTTGAGGTGGTGTTGAATGGACGATTGATATCACCCAATTTCCAATTAATTTTTGCTATGAAAATAAATAAAAATCAGTATATGTATAATAGCCTCGTTTAAAATTTGCGGTTGCAAAATTTCTACCATATATTCCGGACAATGCGGATTCCGGGCCACTATGACTTTGTTGATTACTAGAACCTAATGTAGATATTCTAGAACACGTTTGTTCAAAAGCGTTTTCCCTTGACCAACCAGACAATTGATCAAAGTAATCCGAAAGGTACAAAAGGAAATTGGTCTCAATATCCTTGAGAGCATTAACAGGCGCGATACCGGTTGACCAAGTTCCACTTCCTACGGAAGAAATGACATTGGCAATATTTCTACCAGATTCAATAAAATTATTAGGAGGGATATTAAAGGCCGTGGAAAGTTCATTGGCAATGGAGTTAGCAAGTGAATTGATCCATTCGTCTGAAGTTGTGTAGATTGACGCCTCATGTCTTGGTGGAGTGGTCTTTTTCGCGATTTTCTCAAGAATGGATGATACTTCTTCTTTGGGAAGACCATAAACGATACAATGAGGAGATGGTTTAGATAACCCCCCTCGAACGTCCGCTTCGTGCATTTGAGTTGTCACGTGAAGTGGTATTTGAGACATGATGAAGTGATGATGACTTTTTATCTTAAAAGAACGATTTTAATTTCAGAGGATAATGAAATCGTCTTGAGAAATTTCGGGAATGAAAATATCATTGTATTTATATCGTTGATTTAAAATTGTCATGATAACCAAACTCCTATTGATCTTTTTTTCCCTCGCGTATAAAAAAAATATTCCCATTGAACAACAAATGAAAAAACGTTTTATATTACAATTGCTTGGCGCATATGGGCGGCTTCTCACTTATTAGTTCTTGTATAATAATTATAAAAAGCTCTCTTACCGTATTTAGTTTTATTTTTTTATGTAAATTGATTAGATTGAGAGATGGTTCTTATGATTTGCATAATCGGATCAGCAAAAGGATTTTACAAAAAGAAAATCAGAATGATTGTTAATTCCCCTTTACATCTTTAATATTTTGTTGTGAACTACAATTTGCGTTTGAAGATTATTTAAAACATAAATAATTGAATTTACCTAATTATATTCAAGCCATTTAACCTACAAAAAAAATTATAAAAGAACATCTATTTGATAGGAAATATCCAAAAATGTATTAACAATGTTGATCATCCTTTTATTGTTTAACTTAAAAAGAATTAATTATAATCAAACAATTTTTTTATTAATGTTATGCATTTGTTCTCACGCCCATTTTTTTTTGTTTCCTTTTTTAATACTACCATTAAGAAGAATTTATCCGTTTTCAAAGAAATAAACCTCTTCCCACGGGTAATTGCTTTCTTATCCTTCATTTTACACATCAATTATGATTATTAAGGACAAAACCGGTAAATTTTATATCTTAGAATCAAACAATGTTTCTCGACCACTTATTTTCTATTTTTGTACATTCCTTACCATTTTGATTTCATTGATAAATTTAATTTAACAACTTTTTTTTTTAAAAAAAACATAACAATCGTACAACATTGTAACATTTTAATTGTCGCAAATCACGACTTGTTTTACATTTAAAGGTAAATTTTAGACAATTTAGATAATTTAATGCTAAAATTTTCACTTGTTCAAAAATCCAGGATCACGAGAATGTAGGAAAATATTAATTAACATAGAAGTAATGGCGCTCCAACAAAATAAACAATATCATCTTGATCTAACAAAGATAATTCTTCTACGGATCACGAGATCGTATGAAAGATCAAAAAATAAAAATAAATTAATAATAAAGTAAATAGTGCTCCAACAAAATGAATAATATCTACCATTAATTTACAGTACGCTCGCATTTTTTTTAAGATGGACCGTTTATTGATTATGCGCAGAGTAAAATGTTGGATTTTGTTTGAATGTAATTTTTTAAAAAATTATTATATAACAT